TTAAGATTTTCACACAAAAATAGAAAAATAAAAAACAAGAAATTTATTTCATCAAACCCATACGTGATATTCCAAAATGATATTGAGGTTTATAATATATTTTTTTCTAAACTGAATAGTTTGCGCGAGAGACACTTCCGAAGTGGTAAAATGTGTCCAGTCCCCCGCCCCCCGTAACTTCTAAAATAAGTTACTGATAAAACTAAAAAAAAAAATGGGTGCGTGTACTTATGTAGGCGCGTGAGAAGTTATCCTTCTTTGGCATGCATCGTTTAAAATTAGTTTTTAATTGCATGCAAATAATTAATTACAATAAATTAATAAAAAGTCTGGAAAAGGACGAAGTCAATAAAGTTCAGTTTTAATTTGAAAAAATAAATAAATAATCAAAATATTCAATTAAAATCGCTACTGAATATAATTTATTAGAACATATGTGATTTGCACTTGTATGAAACTCAAACACGTATTCCGAATATAAAAACTAGAAACATGTGGATAAATATTATAAATATGAATACCTATAACTGTTACTTTATTACAAAAAATAAAGATGTGGTTTTTGGTTCTACTACACCAATGGTCAAGAGATGGCGCTGTAGTCTCCTGAATCGCGCTTTGGTTTCGTTGTTCCAGATTAATAAATACTTTTTGTTGCTTTATTACAAAAAATTAAGATGTGGTTTTTGGTTCTACTACACCAATGGTCAAGAGATGGCGCTGTAGTCTCCTGAATCGCGCTTTGGTTCCGTTGTTCCAGATTAATAAATACTTTTGATAGGCCTTCACAATGCAGTCGTTAGCACCCACTAAATAGAGATTCTATTTCTATTTTGTTGGTAGATTTTCTTAATGTGCGGTAAACACAAAAGTAACGCATGAAGTTGGTCGCTAAAGCTAAAGCGACCAACTTCATTAAGTTAAAATTTTGTGTTACAGTGATGCGCGCGCATCTTAAAATTTCACTCTCATCATTTTTTCATAACGCGCCTAAAGAAGTATAACTTCAAAAAATATATGATGAACATTATGCAAACTTCCACCGAAAATTGGCTTTAATGAGATCTAGTAAGTGTTTTTTTTTAATACTTCATAAATCACAAATCAATAAAAAAACACTATTATTTAAAAATCGATCAAAGTTACAACGAACTACAAGAACTTTTTATATTATGTTACTTGCTGCTACGGAACCCTTCATGAGTGAGTCTGACTCGCACTTGCCCGCTTTTGTTATCTCTAGCCATGATGTGACCCTATAAAAGTATGACTAAATTGAAATCAGCCGCATCATTAAAAACCGCCAAAGTGCTTATGGTTCAGTTACAGAAGATAAAAACTCAGCAAGGTTTGAAACAACAGAAACATCACCAAAATGTAATAATGTTATTTTAGGGTGGCCTTTATCCGACACTTTGTGATCCGGGCAAAGGTAAGCAAGATAGCTTATTCACATCTACTACCTATTCTTTCGGTCTCAGAAGATGTATTAGCCAGATCCATGATGGATTTAGCTAGTGAAGTTTTATTTTCGTACGTAAATAATATTTATATAGTTCCATATTTTATGTAGTTATCCGTCATAAGAACTCTAATATACTTTTTTTTTATAGATAGTGCCGACAAATGACTCCACCCCACCTGATGTTAAGTGAATGTGAAGTCCAGACGCGAAGTCCATCCTCACCCTGCCGGCCTGTATGTTGCTGCTTTACGCCTCTTTTAAAGGATCCAAGGTTGATACTTGTTTTGCCAATGCGATCAGGCATATTATTATGTTCTTTTCATTTTCTAAAGAGGATGGTAAACAAGCAACATGTTGTAAGAAGCGGCCACTACAGCCTATATAGATGCTTGGGATATCAGATTATCTCGCGTGCGTCGCCTGCCCAGATCCTATCTCCTACCCCGTGAAGCCCTGAAAAATGTTCGCCCTCTAAGGCCCGTATTATAGAAAGATTCTCAGTGATCGATCTAGTCTTGAGCATAGTCGCTATACTAAGCACATAGCGACATCCCTTTCTAACTGTACTCAAGTAAAGATCAGCACTTAGTTGTCATTCTGTAATACGGGCCTAAGTCTTTATTTACATAACTTGAGGTGTTAATATTTCTCATTCTACCGAGAAACTTAGCTTAAATATGCTTAGGCCAAACCTAATAGTGTTTATGACAGTCAGACTTCAAATTATCTGTTTAACCTATTTACACTTAAATTTAATTGTGAGCGTTTCATTGTCAGATAGTTCTGTTCGTGACATGACTAAAGTAGTCTTTTGTATGGAATTGAAATTTATGTAGAGTTTGTATAACAGTATCAATACGGGTGTTTCACGTAATTATTAAAGGTAAAAGCAAATTTTCCGATTGGAAAAAGACCAAAAAAATGTAAAATAAATGTTTCAAGAGAGCTAAGAAATCCTATCCAATCTTTGAATCTAGGATTCCGAGACTGAAACATACAGTTTGACAATATGCAGTTTTTATATAAAACAAAAACAAATCAAATCATTGTCGATAAAGTGAAAAGAATTTGCAATATCAAGAAAAGAGAATTTTAGATGATAGCTCTATTTATTGGAACGGCCTTTTACAAGGCACAGAGCAAATTGATATTAAGTGGAGTCCAATCGCGAAACGCTGACATTCTCACCTCATCGTAAAAGAAAAAGAATCTACTAATCTTCTACATAGAAGATAGAAGAAAAAAGAGTTCAATCTACAGAAGATTTCTCCAAACAATTGCTAGCAATGGTAAAAGCTGTGTTCCTGTCGACCGGATAGCTTTCATTTCCTCCAAATTATTGTAAGCAGTACGAAGTTCGCCGGCTCAGCTGTTACCTCGAAATAATCAGGATTACCGATTAGGATGTTATTTACACTTAGATTTTATACTCAGATATTGAAAAAGCTTTTGACCGAGTGCCCCGTAAGCAAGTGTGGCGGGCGGGCGCTTTGAGCTCAAAGAGTACTAGCATATTATACACGGTAAGTTATCGTCCAGGACATAACCAAAAAGCGACTACAAGAGTTTGAAGCTAAAAGATGTTAAGATTAAAGTTGGAGTTCATCGGGGTTCTGCCCTAAGCCCCCTCTCTATTCAATTTCATTATGATCAAAATAAAGCAAACAGGAACGGTTATATTTTTCATACACTAATGTTAAAACATCTGATCTAGAAATTGTTTACTCTTTGTAACAAAATGAAACTTGAAGAGGGTCAAGAAGGAGATAAATGTTGTATGGAAGAATCTATGCTGAAGATCAGGTAAGCGTCTGATATAGCGTGAATGATTCGGAAAAAAGAAATTATTTTTTAAATAAAAATATGGCTGAGTTCGTGTCGTGCCACGCTCAGTGTAAGGTTCCGTTGCTACCACAATATATTTGAGCAGGAGTCTTTATTTTCTGTATCGGTAATTAGAAAAACTAATTAATATCAATCTACGAATCTCAACTAAAATAACTAAATCAAAGTCAAACTGCGTATCAAACTCAAAATCAATTTCACAGAATACTATGTATTATGTTTTTAAATACGAATGATAACCGAGAAGGGCCTCACAAGCTTCATCTGCAGCAATCATCCCCTTCTCAGGGGATGATGCGGTATAACTGCCGATCTTTTCTACTGCTTATATACTTTTTATAAAAACGTTGCGTTAGCGCGACTTAGAAGCCGTTGTCTTTGGTACTCGCGGTAGCGTTTTAGAACTAAAGATGTTTTATTGTGGTTTTTTTATAGTTTTTTTGTTTAGATTTTGTTGCAATGCAAGGTTTTATGCTACAATAACTTCATCTATGTCAGTATTAATGTTTTCTTCTAAGGAATTTTCAATAGGTAAGAAATTTTCATTAACCAAAATTGAATGACTATTACTCTTAGACTAACAAGTTTATCATAACCGTTTTATTTTTCCCTAAAAATTCACGAAGAGCACTATTATCATGAATTTTTCCAGGTTTTTCAAGCTAATAGTTTAGCTTTTGGAAGGAGGGAGGACGCCCCGATCGAACAAAAATTAGTATAGTTATAACTTTTATTATTTTAAAGCATGTAACTGCTTCATGTTTAAATCTAAAGAAAAATTTTCTTTAGATAAAAATTAGTATTTTAAAGTTCAATATTTTGCAATCGGATCCCCAAATCTAAAACTAGTCATAGAACCCCCTAAGTAATTTTAAAGGACCTATTCAACGATATCCCAAACAATGGGGTAGATGACAAAAATATAAATCATCCCGGGGTTATATAAAGGCTGAATATGATGATGAGGGCACGAGCAATTTAAATAAATCTTCTCTACTCAAAATTGTTTTAAAGGTTAAATATTTAAATAGGTTACATTAATGAAAATATGGCGTACCATTGTTTGTTAACTTATGTAGAGCTCAAGAAGATTATAGGTGTATTATATAATATTTTTGTTATTTCACCAATTTAAACATTCGTGTAGTACCTCTGCTATAGTTTACATACTAACTGCACATAGGTACACCTTACGTCACACCAAGGATTGAGTTATATAATAACAAAATCAATCTGAACTTAATCTCTTTGCGTAGGTACCTAAAATGCCTTGCCGTTTATCTATGAAACATTATAAAGTTAAAATAGGCGAAATAACTACATAGTTGTAGGATATAAAAACACACCTACTGTTACACTTTTACAACTTACCAGTGACACCAAATGTTATGAATCAACGAATTGCATAACCGTGATTATGATTGTACAACAAGCTCTTTAATTTAATTGCTCCCTATAACGTTTGATAACTTATCGATTAGTATTCCTGTAGCATTTACGTAATGCCGAACAAAAACACAAACATCCTATAAAAAACTGGATAGCTCCATAAACATTGTGTTATGCGAACGTTGGAAATAGCTCACATCGAGTTTGCGTTGCGATCATGTGTTTTATTGGACGTGGCCATGTTACAATGATGTTGACAATCAGCATCGCAAACGCACCGCTCGAAATTTGAATTACTCACGAATTTGGAACGTTCGGTGCACGACGTGGTTATAGGGATTTTGTTCTTATTTTTGTGTTGGAATGGTGTTCCTTTTTATTTGTTTAGGTTATTTGGTTATCGATCGCGGGACGCGGCGTGGCGCATCGTTCGCGCGGGCGGCAGGTTTCGCCGCGACTAGCTGGGCGGGCGGCAGGCGCCCTGCGCGCCGCCCTAGCGGTGGCGGCTGCGCATTGCGAGTCCCACTTTAACCCGCAACCGTTGCCGAGGAAACTGCCGAAGCAGAGCCACGTGAATGCGATGGTAAACTAACTATCGAGCCCGTTTTCGAGGCGCAGCGCCGTCTGGTAGTAGGTATTTTGTTTGTTTCAGTAGACGAATTATATTAAGTATTCGTCTACTCGTCAAAAAGGCCTTGAATTTCAAATATATAATTTTATGGGCTAGCAAACAGGAAACAACATCCAAATTATATTTTGGTTTAGTTTTGTTATTCAGGTAGGTTCTTGGAGGTATAAACAGCAAGTTAAGTGGACCAAACATTTTAATAAATGTTTTATCATTTTAATAAATAGGTTGTCTATTTGAGTTGTTGTTGTTAAAAAAAATCATAAGACATTAAATCTAAAGAAAAATTTACTAGAAAAAATATCCATGTAGACGAGACTCGACCTGCACCTTCCGCTATCCGGGCGCTGACCATTATGCTACCGCAGCCCTAACGGCTGTGTTGAATTTTCTCTAATATTTCTTAGGCTACAGGCAGCGCCATTTCTTCGCATAGTAGGTTAGTAGGTTACCCATAACGTGAAACGAATGCCTTTACAAGTATTAAACATTTGAAGGAAGAAATAGCAATTGTAGTTATCGGACCAGGCAGGTTCGAGTCCCATCTACTGGCTGGTCCGCGTGGAATTCTTTCTAGTAATTTTTTCTTTATAATTAAACAAAAAATATGAAATTATCATAAGACATTTCAAAAACTGGATATACTGTCGAAATGTGAGAATAGCAACAAATTCTAAAATATAATTTGGATGTTGATTCTTGTTTGCTAGCTCATAAAATTATAATGAAGAACTATAAAGCCTAGTAGTCCCTTTTAGTTGTTAATTTGAAATTCAAGGCGTTTTACTTACTTAAAGTGAATATTTTACTTTGTAATGTCGGGGTAATCTAAATTAGTACTTAGTTTTTAACCTATTTCCATAATTGCTTAGACGGCTACCGATCGCAAAAGGAACATTTTCTTTTTGGTAATTACTCAGTAAAAAATATACCCGTTAAAAAGACGCAGTTTCTATAATGTAATAATAATTTCTATAGTTAGTTTCTATAATGTTATATATAAAATTCTCGTGTCAAAATGTTAGTTACCAACTCCTCCGAAACGGCCTGACCGATTTTTATGAAATTTTATATGCATATTCCGTGGGTCTGAGAATCAACTACTATCTATTTTTCATATCCTTTAGTGATAATGGTTGTCCAAGTAACGTAGTGTTCTGAAACCTACAATGCGCCTTCGCGCCAAAATTCAAACTGTTGGGTTAGGAGGAATGTTATCCCAGGAAATTGATAGAACACTGCATTACGCACCCCTAATTTTTCTTTAATTTAATTGAGGTATAAAAAAATACATACAACCCTAAATTTTCCCTTCTACCACCTGCCCCTATTTTTATGGCGGTACGAAGTTCGCTGGGACAGCTAGTAATGTTATATAATTAATTTGTAACTACTATGACAAGTTTTTTTTAAGTTAATGCTTAACGAGGTTAACCTGTTTGGAGTAAACATAAACCTCCTTATTAATAAACAAGGAATAAGCTTAGATTAGTTACTCCGTGTTTTGTTCATGTCACTCATATGCCATTTGTCATTCAATGAACAAAGACGAAACATGGAGTAACTAATCTAAGCCTATTTTTCGTTTATTAATAAGAGTGTAGGAGCTCGATAGCGCAAGTGGTTAGCGCGTTCCGCTGCGATCGTTGAATTTAAGCAACTTTCGCAGTGGTCGGTCATTGGACCGAAAATTTACTATCTCGAGCTCCTCCGTGCTTCGGAAGGCACGTTAAGCCGTTGGTCCCGGCTGCATCTGCAGTCGTTAGCACCCACCAACCCGCACTGGGCCCGCGTGGTGGGTCATGGCCCAATCTCCCTGTTCCATCCATAGGGAAGGCCTGTGCCCCAGCAGTGGGGACATTAATAGGCTGATGATGATGATGAATAAGAGTGAAGGAGTGTGCGTTATGGATAAAATAAATTAATTACGTGCGATAACAGTTAAGTACATATTAAAATCTCACACAAGTTATAAACATCGAAGGTTTTTCATAGATTTTTTTCAAAAAATCTGTTTGGGTTCCTAACTCACGTAGGCAATATAACATCCTTAATAGTAAACTCTTCAACTGAATAATCGTTCACAAAATCTATTAAAAAGTTTAATTACCACACCGCTACAAACGGAGCATGTGAAGCCTAAACATTTATTTAATAAAATGACAAACTTTAAAGTATTATGTTCTAAATACAAACATTAATTAGATTCCAAACGAAATGAACGTTTTACAAGTATTGAATTGAACCCTGGCTGGTAGCGTTGAGAAACAATCACAGAGGATCTATGCTTATTGATTACCCGTTTCTACCAACACGACCTCATTCGAGCACCTGATTTGTGACATAAACAATTCCTCCGTAATACTTTTATTTATTTCGCTCAGCCATTACCAAACTGCGGATGACGATTGTTTGCAAATTTTCCGCATCATTATAATGGTTACATTTCCGAGACCACACTCCATGGATCATATGGCCAGTTCGACTCGAGACAACCTATCGCGTGCGCATGTCTAACAATCGTTTAAACAGTGTCAATTAAAAAAAAAAAAACCCTTTATAAGTTTAAAAAGAAACGTATTAAAAACTCTTTGAAGATAATCTGTCGAAAATGGCGGGAGTGCTTTTCATAGTGAACGTACCTCAGATGGAATACGAAAAAGAATTAAAGTCAAATGAGAAGTCTTCGAAAATTGTGATGGAAAAAGAGAAGTACGAAAAAGCTTCTAAGGTGATACACGAAATGAAGAAGAGCAAACGCTTCGGCAGCATAGCGAAGTCGTCCATAGAGTCGTATGCTACAGACGACGACAGCAGCATAGTCATATCGAAATGCCGTTCCACAGACTGCTTGAACAAGAATGAAAACGAAGGTTTATATAAGTCCAAAAGTGAGAACACGCTTAATGATATATCACCTCAATCTTTTCAATCCTCCTGGGATGAAGTGAAACAAGTTATAAAGGCTAAAAAGAATAAATTGAACATAACCAGGCCTACGCGCGGGGTCGACATCCTGGGGGCGTTTCATTTTGACACACCGCTTGAAACTGTGAGTAGTTATGGTCGAAGTTCATGTCATTGGTAGAATCAAGGAGCTCCCCGGGGTGTAATACCTGGGGACGCATTTTGTCAATCAATCTTATCAAACCTTTAGGAATACCCAAATGTATAAATGTTATTTCAAAAATATACAACAACATCCATCCAATATTTAACATCGTTTTGGTAATTCTTTAAAATACATTTTAATCTTTTTTATATACCCAAAATCTAATATAAGACCTTTTACTGACCTAATTCACTCTCTCCTTAAACCATCAGAAAGACATACTTTTGTTAAATTTTGTTTTGGGTATTGATAATCATGCCAGAATCGGACGCAAATGCTAAGTATTAGCACGTTTAATTTGAAAACCAAAGACTCTTTTCAGACAGCGACTCTACGTAAATGTGTAAATGATTTGACATGCTACTAGTCACTCACTTGGTTTAGCTCCTTTACTTGTAGACAATAATAATCCGAAATCCCGCCGCCTAATTATGCAGTCATCTGTTTTATTATTGAAACTTATTTAAATGCATGATTTGTGAGTATACAATACATTTAATTTAGTGACATCCATTTTGTATAAATAACATCCATATGTGTATTGATAAATTGACTGATTGAGAACTAACTGGCAACCACTTTTTTTTAATTATTCACATAATTTCCTTTCAAATGCCGTAAAAAATAAAATTTACAAAAAACATATGGATGCATAAATGCTACTGTTTTTAGACAACCCGTCATTAATGCAGAGTATAGTAAATAACTCACTCGTCATTCATTTTAATAAGGTTTTACCAAAAAAACAGATGGCTGCAGAATTTTGCGGAGGGTCTCCGGCTTATAGTTTTTGTTCTTGGGCAATGGTCTAAGCACTAATGAATTTTTTTCTAACAAGCGATGACAACAGCAACAATTTTCATGTGATTTTTAATATTTACATATTTTAGTTCATCGTGAACATACCTACAGACAGATAAATACTGCGTGTGACTTTGTTTTATAATACGTTATGATTATCTTTTAACTATCCCGCAAATGTTCTGAAGCAATTTTTGGTATATCGTTTGTTACTCTATAGTGAGCGGAGTCTTAAATACTAACGAAAATATGCGATTACTTTTTTTTGTTTTTTACTTAACACGCTAAAACGATTACACATTTTTTATGCATTTTGTACTCAAGTACCTATAAACTGTACTAACATACATATAGTTCGAACCGGATTCTTTAGGAATTAGAGTTTCGAAGTGCAACCAGGCGAAGCCTTGAGTCAGTGTAAATAATTTTCATAATTAACAAAGCATATATGTAAAATGAATGCCATTTGCGAGTGTTTAGTAGCAAAGTATCCATTTTAATAGTTGCGATGCAATTACGTTCAAGTCACTACACAGAGCTATCTCTGCATCTTATCCGCCGAGACAATTGCGCATCGTCAGCAAAACCAGGAAATGATAATTGCATGGGGAAAACATTCTTAAATGGAATCGTACTAAATAGTACTGTAGATAGAATGAAGGAAGAAAAATCGAAACGTTACATGGTAACATTTTACAATGGTTCAATTAATCTACACTCTATGAGATAATTAGCGTAATTTGACATTTACAATTACCTGCTTTGATTCCCATGGAGATGATACTAATAATCATAAAACTACAGAGTTGCTTTAAACTTACATCGATATATTGTAATGAAAATTTGTCATACCGGCACTTCAATTATACACGAATAGCCACGTGTTTGTTATTTGTTAAATTGACATCTGTCTGCCCTTTTCACTAGCATATAAATTTAGCATATAAGGCTGTGGTCTTTTATAAACGCCGTAGGCCGTGTGCACCGCCACGCCGTACGCCTCGTTACGATGCTTAATATAGAAATGTACTGCTGTGATCTCTTTCATACGCTGACGTCGTCGGTGTGTGGACGCCGTAGGTGGCATTTGAACGCTTTGCGCCACATCTCTAGTTATTTCGAACCATTGCAGCGTCAAAGTCGTATTTAGCGTTAATACAAAATGTCTAAATTTGACGAACGACGACGTACATTGTTGTGAACGAGACGTCGTCTTTCGCGATTGACATGTATTGACATGTAGACTCAAAGCGATCAAATGCCACCGACGCCGACGGTGTCCACACACCGACGTCAGCGTATGAAAGAGAACATAGCAGTACATTTCTATAGTAAGCATCGTGACGCAGGGTACAGCGTGGAGCTGTACGCGGCTTTTACAGGAGACCAAAGCCTAACTTCATCAGCCTATTAATGTCCACACTTCTGGGGCACAGCTCATAGGGACATAGGGAACTATGACTTTCATTGAAGAGCTTGGGATAATAAATATTATTCGCCATGCTAGTCATAACCAGAAATTGCGAAAGTTGCTTAACTTCCTCGGTCGTAGCATGAACGTGATATCCGTTGCGCAATCGAGCCTATAAAAAATATTATAGTATTTCTAAATTGTCATTTTTCCTTAGTTTTTTCATACTGGACTAGAAACGAAAGGACAACTTATTATTACTTATTTATACTTACTATTTACCTATCAATAGACCGGTACACAACCATGTGACTAATATCAAGCAAATGAAGAGTTTCAAAAATTGCATTTGGCTCTTTAGCTATTGTGTTTAATGCTATCACAGCAATTCGGTTTTCTTTATCTCCCCAATCCATTTTAATATTACGAAAAACTTAACTCAATGCATATTCATGACAAATTCCAAATCTACACATATAATAAAATGATAGGAAAGTCAAAACTGTACATTGAATATTTTTTTTAAAGTATGCTTGGGGTGTGATCTACAATCGATACCGAAGCCAAAAATATATTGTCTGTTTGTATGTCCGGGATAAACTCAAAAAGTACTGTATTGATTTACATCAAATTTGGTACAAAAATAAGAAGTCGGGTTAATATTTAGGTTACATATTATCACGCTATTACCTACGAGCAGTAAACCTTTATTTCCAACTAGCTCCACGCGTACGAAGTCGCGAGCGGCCGCTAGTTCAAATATATATATATATAAACTACTAACTGCGTGTGTTCCAGAAGTCGACAGAAATTTAGGGTAGGAGGTGTGTAAGTGTATGCTCGTAAACGATGAACTAAAACTTCCTGGGCAACCGTTACATCCGAACAATGACAATAATGACCTTGTAACTACATCGTACATACGTTTCATAATTACCACTCTTATTTCAACTGGAGAAGAGATACCTTCTATGCGCAAATAGGCAAAAGGGCCCATCTTTTCTCCATACATCTCTGCCCAATCTTATACCTCAAGTAGGTATTATCATATCTAATAATTATGTGTAAAAAATGCTGCTTCCTATATACTAAAAATATAAAGTTAAGTATAATATGTATTGTAACTAAATATTTATCTTCCAAATGATTTAATGGAAGGTGACTTCAGAGATACTTCTGAATTTTTCATTTTTCTTCTTGACGACTCTGTATATAAATAATACAGGGAGATAAAAGCAGCCCTTGCTGAGTTTCTTGTCGATTTTTCTCAGTACAAGGTCTCCCGCCGTAATTTTGCGAATCGACGGCGTAGCTTCTTGACCTTCACAAGTGCTTGTAAAACAGCCTAGACTGAATAAATGAATTTTGAGTTTGAGTTTGAAAAACATATTATAGAATTTATAATCAACTTGTGCCACAATAAAATGTCATTTAAACGTATCTTCATACACGAGTTAGCATTTTTCCAAATATTTTACTTCAGATTTTCACCAATTTCTATTGAATTTATTAAGATTTTGATAAGCGAGTCTTTTAAGTTCTTATAGTTTTAGATTTCGTATGACATAATTTGTACCTAGGTACCTACATAATAAGGCAGAAATCGAAGGTATCCTTTGTATGTTTCAACTCTATGATTATTTTAAACTACTTAATACAATGTGAAGTCACCTATGTACATCTGTATTATATTTATACTTATAATATTTTTTTTCCAGATATTATCAGAAATATTAACGCGCCTCGAAATAAACAGTGCATCGTGGACAGCAACGAAAGGAAACAAGTTTTGGAAGGTATCTATCTGCCTTATTCTTTTTATCTTGTATCACCTTTTTATATTAATTAGGTCTTGTAGTTTATTAATGATATCCTAAATAATTTTTAACCTTAATTTGAATTAAGAACTTTGGTCAAAAAGAGGGCCTAGGTTGTGTATCTTACATATGTTTATGTACAATAATATTGATGTTAATTTCTATTAACACAAAAAAGGACTAAAATTATTTCTTAATACGGAGACTTATATTGAAAGCTAACAGAATTAGTAAAAAAATCTAATTCCAAATGTGCACATCATTCTACACTCGAGAGCAATGAATCCGGGTCATTGAACCCGTAAACTAAGAATGCTAGCATGAAATGAATTCTCATTAATAGACAATTAAATACTCCTTAAATGAAGATATTAAAACTTCTTAATTATTGAAAAGTTATATCATTAAAAAAACTAATTTGAAAAAAAAGAAAGAAAGATCCAAGCAAGCATGCATCGAAGAAAAAGTAGCCCATGGTGGTGAGTCTGTACTTGTGTGGGCTGGAATTACTTCTGAGAGTCGCACAGAACTGGTGTTCATATAAATGTCATGTCTCCTATTTTTGTTTTAAGCCGTGATCAGTCAGTTTTTTCTTTATGTATTTTTTTGTAAATAAAATGTAGTGACTCCTAAATTTTATTACTTTCATTTAAGGAATATTTAATTGTCTATTAAACACAATTTATTTCATTAAGCTAGCATTCTTATTTTATGAGATTTTTAGGATTCTTTATGTGACCCGGATTCATTGCTCTCGAGTGTACAAAGCTCACTGACTTTTCAAAGTCATACCATAAAAACAATATTTGTAGGTACATCTACCTCCAGCAACATAAAAAGAAGGGGTCAGACGCTAGTTGACTTTTTATAAAATTTTAAGGCCAGTCTCGTAAATATTTGTTTACTTTTTGCTTGTTAAGTTCTGTATGACATTTAGTAAACCATACAAAAAATATCATTAGTTTTTCTAATAATAGGTATAAGTAAAACCAATGCAAACTTATCCTTTAGGATACTTCTAAGCTTTATCATAAGTATAAAAAGGTATAATTTTTTGCCTGAATTAGAGTGCATGCTGGCTGTTTCGGAAAATAACATTTACCTTTCTGAAGACCGTAGCTAAATATCACTATTTTTTATATCATCATCATCTTCATGATGATTACCTTTCTGAAGACAGTAGCTAAATATCACTATTTTTTATATATTTAATATTTATTAAAGTGTAGATATTAAGTTATTAAAAATTTCTCGTTCCTTTTTCTGTGATGACCAGTGAATTTCCTGTCTGAGTTTCATATAATATGAATGACGGTGTAATGTGTGTTTGGTATCATATACCTACATATTCTATATATATAACATGGTTTGGTTTATTATGTCACTAATAACAATGGGCAGAACGAATCTCCATAATGCAGTATTTTAGCAATAGTTTACGTAATTTCAGGGTGAAGGTTATTCACCGACAATTCTGTCATTATTTTGACATTAATTTAGTTTACATCCGCGACAGTAATATGCCTTCTACTGCCTATTATACGGTTATCTGCTACAGTGAATGAATTAATACATGCATATGAGACTTTAATGCTGTCCTCTTCCCTGAAGTCAGAGTGACAAATAAACGTAACGTGATGTTAACTTTTTTTATCAAATCATTTACAGATTACTTGGATTATACACATACATACGTACACATTATTGTACAGTGTACAACATTTTATACTAGTGGCCCGCCCTCGCTTCGCTTCGGTGTAGAGCTGAAGTGTAGACTACAGTTTTTGTTCTCAGGCTTGTATAATAATACACAATGGGATTCATCTAAGATTCTTCTTATACCTGCATGCAAAGTCTCAGCCCGATCGGTTTAAAATTGACAAAGTTTCATACAAACTTTCATTCCCTAATTTATCCCCTGAATTGATCGAAATCCTATCCTAAAACTTAGCGGATGCCTACGTCATAACATCTACCTGCATGCCAAATTTCAGCCCGATCCGTCCAGTGGTTTGGGCTGTGCGTTGATAGATCACTATGTCAGTCAGTCCCCTTTGACTTTTATATACATATATAGATAAAAGCGGTAATTTTTATTACCTGTATTTATAATCAAACTAAAATTCTCATATTTACGTTATATAATCAGGTGTTATTGTGAGTCAACCATAAAAGATAGACATATGCTGTTGCGGGATATTTTTTAGACAATTTTATGTACAATATTTCCGTCATACATAATTTCTATGTAACTTTAACCATTAAGGCTGCACACGCGACGGAAGCTGAAAAATGGAGTAACTTCTCCCGTTTTCCCAACATTTCCCTTCACTACTCTGCTCCTATTGATTGTAGCGTGATGAAAAGTATACTATAACCTGCCCAGGAGTATGAAGAATAATTGTACCAAGTTTCATTAAAATCCGTCGAGTAGTTTTTGTTTCTATAAGGAACATACACACAGACAGACAGACAGACAGACAGACAGACAGACAGACAGACAAAATTTTTACTGATTGCATTTTTGGCATCAGTATCGATCACTAATCACCCCCTGATAGTTATTTTGAAAATATATTTCATGTACAGAATTGAACTCTCTACAGATTTATTATAAGTATAGATAATATAATAATATAATTATAGCAAGTGGCTCAAAGTCTTGTATTATGGGAGACAGGTAGGGTAACGGATAGATATACAATTATTATCTATACTTATAATAAATCTGTAGAGAGGTCAATTCTGTACATGAAATATATTTTCAAAATAACTATCAGGGGGTGATTAGTGATCCATAATGATGCCAAAAATGCAATCAGTAAAATTTTTGTCTGTCTGTCTGTCTGTCTGTCTGTGTGTATGTTCCTTATAGAAACAAAAACTACTCGACGGAATTTAACGAAACTTGGTACAATTATTCTTCATACTCCTGGGCAGGTTATAGTATACTTTTCATCACGCTACAATCAATAGGAGCAGAGTAGTGAAGGGAAATGCTGGGAAAACGGGAGAAGTTACTCCTTTTTTTAAGCTTCCGTCGCGTGTGCAGCCTTAATGGTTAAAGTTACATAGAAATCATGTATGACGGAAATATTGTACATAAAATTGTCTAAAAAATATCCCCGCAACAGCATATGTCTATCTTTTATGGTTGACTCACAATAACACGTGTAACTCCTGATAGCTTAGCAGTTCGGAGCATTCTGATTATATTTGTTTACTCTTACGTTTATAATACTCTCACTCATCCCTAATTTAAAAAAGTTAACATTATTACCTATTCAATAAAAAAAGAATCATAGAAATCGGTATATAAACACCAAACTTATACATGAAATAAGCCATCGCGCCGTCGCACGTGAATACTGAATCATGCTTTAAGGATTATTTTTGTGTAACGGTTGGAAACACTGATAATTTTAGAGGTTTTTAATGTAAGGTCGTAAATAAACACAGTTTTTCCGCTTACATTGCAAACGCTGGCTGAACCCTACGAGATCGATCAAAATATTGTACTACAGTATTGTATACCTTAAAAATGTCTACAAAAAAGTCCGCCATGGTATCTGTCTATCTCTTAGGGATAACCCACAATAACCATTTTATATCCTATACTTTTTACGAGAAATAATAGATTATTTACGAAGCGATTTTCAGCAATATAACATTCTTCCTTATCCAATTCAGTACCTTAAATACATTGTGCATTTAATATAGACCAATTTGGCTATTTAACGCATGTAATTTAAATGAATATTTTCGAAGATATTACAGATTTAAAATGCAGGGACATAGCGGTTCCGACGCTACCGGGCGGGGCACCTGTGGCCCAATCGCCTAACCAGATTGCTTTGGAAAACGCTATCGCTTACGATTTCATTTTGTTATTTCTAACCGCCGAAGGTTTTCAAATACCTCACGCTCATTTTCTTTAACATTGTTATTACCAATGCAAAAGAAAAAAAAAGAGCGCGAGGCATTTGAAAACCTCAGGCGGCTAGAAATAACAAAATGAAATCGTAAGCGATAGCGTTTTCCAAAGCAATCCAGTTAGGCGATTGGCCCCCTGGGTGGCGCGTGCCTATTGTAATTAGGTATTAGAAGAATGTCATTGTATAATACAAGCCTGAGAACAAAAACTATAGTCTACACTACAGCTCTACACCGAAGCGAAGCGCGGGCGGGCCACTAGTGATACATAAAAAAGTAAATTTTGTAGAAATAGGAATAACAACCATGACTTTGGTTAAAATGTTTCTTTGGTAAAAAATCATTACACAAAACCCACCAGGATTCGAACCCAGGACATCTGAGTATTAGTCCTTTAATCCGTGGTAATAATAAATAATAGGCGGCTTTTTAAAGCCATTACATTATTCTAACAAAAAAGATACTTGATAATATTTCTTAATGTCATGAATAGAAAATTATTTTTTTCTTTATTTTCACATGACTGAAAAGGCCTAGTTTTGGCGGAACCTGAAGTGACTTCACCTGCTTGTAAACATGCTGTTGAAGTAACATTACTTTGTACTGTTCGACGTTTTAATGAGAGCCGTGTGACGTCACCTGCCTGTAAGACGCCATATTTGCAAGAGAAACGTTTGCGCGGCATTTTTGAAAACATAATTTTTATTTTCTTTTTATCACGATATAGGTACGCATCGGAATTATAAATAAGTAACAACTTTTAATTGAGTCACATTACAGTAATCTATAATGTATGGGCGTTTTAGAAAACTAGTCGAATAGTCTTTTGAATTGAGAAGGTGCCCTTAAAACAGTATGCAGGAAGCATTAGGTACAACTCACACCACGGAGGTCACTGGAAAAATAAATTATAAAAAATTTCGAGTAGAATGACATTTCTTTGCAGAACATACATTATATATGTTATTTATTATAAGTATTAATATTCCGGACGAGTATGAGTGTTATAACAAAACGCCGTTACATCCGTAATGGTAAAGCGACAAATGATTATCACACCTTTGTTCTGTACACTGAACGAAATGTGGCCACCAATAAAGTTATCGGATATGATTCATAAAATGTGCCATCCAATATTAGCTGCGTTAATTAATTTTAAGATTGTTGAACCTATCGATGGTAGGTACAACTCAGTCAATCGAAGAATGGGATTAAAAATTTTATTACCGTCAAAATGTCGATGACAAGTTACATATCTTTAAGAAGAAGCAAATTGAGTGAAGTGAAGAATGTAAAGATGAAAAAGTAAAGAAACGGTTGTAAAAACGGTAGTAGTCTTTCGAAGGTAGCTCGTCAAAGTAAATAAAAATTCATTTATTCTGAAGATGCAATCCTGAAAAGGATGCGAAACGTCAGTAAATAAAGTGCATATAACCCGTTAAAAATGTTTTATTTAATGAGTGATGTGCGTGAAACCTAAGAACCAATTACGGGAGTAAATCTTACAACAAAATCTACTTTGGTGTTTTACTGGACCATTTTAAGTTCAATTATTTAATTGACTATTCATTTTTTTCTTTTTTAGGGTTCCGTTTAAAGGAAAAACCGAACCCTTATAGGATCACTTTGTTGTCCGCCGTCCGTCCGTCTTTCAAGACCGTTTTTCTCAAGAACGCGTGAAAGTATCAAACTGAAATTCATATCTAATACTCAGGTCTACTGTTCCTTGGAGCTGTGAAAAAATCGAACTTCTAAGCCAACGCAATCAAAAGATAGGGCCGTTTAACCGCAAATTTTCGAAACTCCCAAGGGAATCAAAACCTACACTTTCCGTGAATTCAGAATCTTGAAATTTGGGACAAAGCAACATTTTATAGCACAGATAAAAGAAAAAATGGGAAAACTGTAAATTTTTAGTTACATCACATATTTTTTTTCATAATTATTATATACCTACAGGTTTGTATGGAACCCTCCTCGGTGCGCGAGTCCGACTCGCACTTAGCCGGTTTTTTTAACTAGCGACCGCCCGTGACTGCTTCCCCTGTTTTTCAAATTCCTACAGAAATCTGTAATTTTTCCGGGATAGAAATTAATCTATGTCTCAATCCAGATCATAAACTGTATCCGTGACAAATTTTATCCAAATCTATCCAGTGGTTTTCGCGTGAAAACAAACATACAAACGTAGGACAATAAATTTTATAATAATGTTATTTACTTTTATAGCAGGTTATTATGTTATGATATCAACGATGTTTCTCATCTCCTACATGTATTGAAAGACTAAAGTATTCCCTGTCTTTAACCTTTATTAATCCGAATTTCTTTCCTTGAATTCGTAAACGTACTTTTCTCCTTTATGTTCTTGGTAAACGCAGAGGCTCAATGTAAGTAAACTTCAGTAAAGTGTTTTTCCTTTAATCCATCCATTATTGAACTAATAGCTAGTGTATGTTTTTTTTCATTTCAAAATGTTTAATAACTGACGCCATCAACTGAGTAAAGTATTTTTATTAATAACAAGTTTAATGAGGATATTTTTAAAGTTGATTTTGTGAATACTGCACCATGTTATAGTCACAGACTTACCGGACTTACCTACCTTATATTATCATAATATTGTAAATATAAAAGAAGGCAAGTACTCAACATAACACTAATATGTATGGTATGATAAACATAATTCTTTTGCGGATTAATTGCTTATGTATTTCTATTTCAAAACAGTATTTAATTAATATTGTTAGATTGGTTAGTCGATTTACAACTTCATATAGACCCAAACGTACCCTTGTGTTACATAAAGATAGCTGTGACCTTTGTCCGAATGAGCCTTCCTTCCCCATGAGAGTTTCGGAGCATTAATCCTTTATGTCTACATAATATTCGTTTTATTATCTACCACTGAGATCGGTGTATATTTACATTCATTTTGTAATAAATAGAGATGTTTTGACAACCACAATTTAAAATTCATCTGAGGACGGTATCTCCTATGATAGGTTTCGTACCATGGTACAAGATTAACTGCTGGAGCAAGAAGTTGGAAAATTTCGGAAGTCTTATAGAAAGCTATTTAATATTTTTTACCGACATAAGTTCTAGCTAGATAAAGTTATCGAGACTGGCATACGGGTGGGCGGATAGGCGGACAAAAACAAATATATCAAATGAAAATTTATTTCCTCTATCCGGGCAGAAACAGTAATAGTAGATTATCATATCGAGCGCAAAGTGCACATTAATGCACGAGTGGTATATATGGGGCTAGATTGCAAGACGCATTTTTCCTCATTTCGAACCCGATCGTCCGTTTTTGATTTGTGATAGTATCAATATGAACACCTTCTTTTTCTTCTTTTTATTACGTTTGTTTGAATCCTATTCTCACAATAGGAAAATCACTTTGTTTGACCGCCAACATGAAAGATCGGGGTCGATGCCAAGCTGCTTGCCTGTCTTGGAATCCCTTTAAGATTTTCATCGCACTGTACTATTGAGCTATTTCTGATCAAGCCGACAGCTAACACTGTCAAGACGTCGCGTCAAGCCGTCTCGTTAAGCAAATAATATAAAATCGTATCAAGCGCGAGGCAAGCTCTCAAATCCTTGACTCAAGCATCAAGCAAACATTGTAGACGGTCAAAATGCTTGAAGCAAGCTAAAATCTACGTGCTTCACGCCAAGCTGCTTCCCGAATCCCTTAAGCTCAATCATATTTTGAAATAGTAAATAATACAACCTCTGACATTGCACTCTGTGTTTTATTTTGTTTGAAAATTCACTTTTCGGGTTTTATACACACCACCCGCCATACTCCATACCGTTCGAAAACGAACTACTTTCCAATAAAAACAGTGCAATAATGAAAAACAATGCAACAATGAGATTTCGTGTAACATTTCTGCACTGTTTTGATTCTAAGCAAAAAATACGTCCTTTCATCCGGCCTATTCGTTAACTTTTTTGACATTTACAGTGTGCAACTAAAGAGAAAAATGCATGTCCATCGATGCTTTTCAGAACAAGTATCTTAATGACGTTATAATAAAGCAGTAATATATCACTAAATATATAATATCACCATCTGTCAAAAGCACTTCTGATCGGTTTTATAGTGATTAATGCTAAAATGTATTACTACGTGGTTAAAAGAAAAATATTTTTTCTATTAAAATGTTCTTTAGATTTCAAGATCTAGCAGTAAAACGCTTAAAATAAAAATAGAATAGTCTTAGTAACTAGTGTAATGATTCTGTTGGCACACTTGTAAGTACGAAACTCCAAAACTGAAGTTTGTCAACCTAACTCGGGTACCGGACTAAAAGTATACGTTTAAGATAAACGTGTCTATCACAGGTAGTTGCTTCAGATAACAACTTAACTTACTTGGAGCTACTTAAGTAGTAATAATGTGTGTCGAATTTTATTTATTATTCATCTAAAAACAACAGAATGCGCCAACTGCTTAACTAGGGACGTTAAGCAGTTGGCGCATTCTGTTATTTTTTCACTCCCGCTCTAGCACGGAAAACTTACGAGCAATAGGACCCGTAGGAAACTTTCTTTATGTAGATGAATAATAAATAAAATGCACATAATAAAAGTGGGGACAGATGTTTGTGTGATGAATACGAGCATTTGTACTCCAGTCATGGATGTTTAATATGTATTTCTATATAAATATACTCATATATGTACAGTATATGTATTCTATCCATTACCCTAGCATCCCATAACACAAGCCCTACAGTGCTTACTTTGGTGCTAGGCTAATTGGTTTGAGTTGGAAAAAAAAACTTGGACGACTCCTAGGTGATAGAAAAGTTAGCAACCTATTCTATGTTAAAATAGTGGCATACAAGCATAATGGGCCACCTGTTGGTACGCGGCCACCATAACCTATCATCATCAGCCTTCCCTATGGATGGAATAGCGAGATTGGGCCGTGACCCACCACGCGAGCCCAGTGCATATTGGCGGTATTGCCTCCGCCAGGCAAAGGCTCTAAATGCTGATGTTAAGCAATAACTTTCATGGCAGGTTACATTCAGCTTAAAGTCGGGAAATCTCTGTGAAGAACTACTCCAGGTTTTGAAAACGTTCGGGATCGGTAGCCGATGCCAGTCATCCATGAGCGTGCTGCCTTGCACCCTCTACTATAAAGCTGGAATTTGCGAGGAAGAGACGGAAACCAAAGAAGATTTATGGCAAAGGTAAGTCAGAGGTCTTAGTGTCGCCGCACACGGGCCACCGACCACAACCACAAAACGCCGCCACCGGCATATTTCTTGTAGTTTTCATACATTTTATATGGATTCGAATAACACGGTACGCCGGCGGCCGCCACACGCTTCAAATAGTCGTTGCTCGCTTCTTGTGGCCCGCACCGGCCACTTAATGCGCTGATACAAAACGCCGCCACACGTCACTCGCGCGATTCCCCACCCCTCTATCCCTTGCCTTAGTCGGCTGCTGTACCGCGCTTCAGCCACTTTAGTAGCCGCTTCTAGCTTCTCGTGGCGGCGTTTGTGGCTGTGGCGTGACGCCTGTGTACGGCGACATTTACACTAAAGATACCTTATTACCACAGAAAGAAATGACATTCGCTCAACATGAGTTTAAGAAAAAACGTCATACAAAATTTGCCTAAACAAGGTTTAAAACAGTATCTAACTTTTTTGTAGTAAGACCGTAAGCCCCTTATTAATAAACAGGGAATAAGCTTAGACTAGTTACGCCGTGTTTTGTTCATATCACTCAAATTCCAATTTGTCATTCAACAGACAAAGACAATACACGGAGTAACTAATCCAAGCGTAGTCTTCGTTAATTAATAAGGAGGTAGTGTTTACTATAAAAATGTAGAATTGTTTTTCTATTAAAAAAAATCTTACCTCATATATGGCCCTTGTATGTCAGACTGGATTCGAACCAACGTCCTTCGGAATGCGAATGCACTAACTATCCTACTGAGACTGTATAATCGTGTCGTATTTCTAGCAGGTATCTATTTATTTTGCCGTCTCTGAGTACAACCGCAAGTTTCTCAGCACTGACTCTAAGGGAAAACCGGGGCACTTGTCCGGGGGAGTACCATCTCTTTCAAAATAGTATTTAAATTTAGCGCAAACGAAACGTCAATTCGTTCATTGGTCACATGTTCTACCAAGTTTAACCTGAGACAAAAGACGGTTTTAAATGTGCTTTCATTAGTATAAAATGTGTGTTTGCAAACCAATCGTAGAATAGGAATCCTACTTTCTACTAATATTACAAACGTGAAAGTTTGTATGTTTATTACTCAATCAAACAAAAACGAACAGATTTGGATAAAATTTGGCACACTTAAAGTTTGTTACCTGAATTGATATATAAGATACTTTTTATCCCGGAAAATGTTAGGTCCCTAAATGATTCTCAAAAAAACAAAGTTTGCAGCCGGCCGCTAGTTATTCTATAATTTATCTCCAAAGAAAATTAAGAACTCTCCTCAGATAGTAAAGGCCACACTTAGCACACACTGATTTTTGGCTCCCAGTGAGAACTCAATGTGGTCTCGCCTATCTTCGTCCATCCGCGCGAGAAACCACCTGCCTCAGATCTTGTACGCGGTCCGCGCGGAGGCGTCACTCACCTTTGACTGGCTGTTCCTGCTGGTCGTCGCTGCCTTCGTCTCCGCCCTAGGCCTGGTGGAGAACTCCACCGTCATCCTGGTCGCTAGCATGCTCATATCTCCTCTTATGGTAAGAACTTTTTTATTACCGGATAGCGAAGAGTGCTGCTTTGAATCACTGTAGTCAAAGCAGCACTCTTCGCACCAGTGGCGGAGTTGATTATTTTTTCAGTAAAAAAAGTAAAAGTTTAACTAGCAGTTCAAACCTTAAATTAGAATACCTACGGTAAGATAATTTGCAGTACTTTTTTAAATTTCCATACATTTCCTGTTCGGAAATTCCATCGTCATACTGTAGCTAAAATTTTAATTTTCGCCTCTTATCAATATAGCAAAGCTGACTTTGTTGTCTGAAGAATTAACTATTCTGTAGATTTCTTAGGATAGTAGACTATTCTGTATATTTATTGAAATTCTGTAGAGGCTTACCAGGAATTCGGTTCTGATCAGACAGATGACATTGGTTCATTGCAGCAAGTTACCTCTGCTATATCAGCTTTTCTTCACATCTGAAATCCGATCACATGTAAAAAGGGACAAGATTTTTGTTGTGCATTCCGTGAAAGCAGTTGTAGATATATTTCAGCAAAAATGATTAATGTGTATATGTAATATCTTAAAGTACACATTGATTTCAGGGTCCTATAACTGCCGGTACACTAGGCACCGCCGTCCGGGACCGTTCTCTACAGCGAATGGGCGTGATGCATGAGATGCTGGGGCTGTTCCTCTCGCTCGTCATCGGCTTCATCTTTGGCCTGATCATCTGCGCCGTCGATGAACGCTACGGTGTCGGAGACTGGCCGACCTATGAGATGGTTTCCAGGTACCACTATATGGAATTTACCACGCTTCTAGGTAACAACCACTGGTTCCTCTAGCTAATTACAGCATATGAGCTTGATACATAAGATGCTGGGTATTTTCCTCTTGCTCGTTATCGGCTTCATCTTCAGGCTGATAATCTGCACCGGTGATGATCACTACGGCGCATCGGAGACTGGCCGACTTAATAATTGGTTTCCAGGCAACACCTGTGTGGCAGTTTTACTACACTTTTAGGCCTAATAACCGCTGATTCTACTCGCTACAGCATACGAGCGTGATACGTAGGATACTGCATGTTTTCTGACGAGTAAGAAGAAACTCTTACTCGTCATCGGTTGTATCTTCGGTTTTATCATATGTGCCGTCAATGTGCGCTACTGCTTAGGAAATTAGCCGACTTACAAATTGTTTACAAAATGCGTACGTACGTGGTGCGTGGCCAGTCCTACCAGTACCTACGATCACGACTTTGGTCCACTTAGACACTTTGTTGAGGGTAAAAGTTATACCTACCTAAATAATTGTCCAGGTGTGAGATCCGTTCTCTGTTGGTGGATGTGCTGATGGTCATACCAAACGGGACGATACACTGCCATTCTGTTAGGTAGGCGTCGCCTCGTCTATCTATCTATATATCTTCAATAAGATGCATTTCACACTGTCCAGATGTGAGATCCGTTCTCTGTGGGTGGGTGTGCTGGTGGCCATACCGAGCGGGGCGGCGGTCGCTCTCGCGGTCCTCAGCGAGTACACAGCTTCGTTGGTCGGCGTCGCGATATCAGCCTCTCTGCTTCCACCTGCAGTCAACGCCGTGAGTTTATTAGTACTAATTATATGAATTATATTATTGACATGATGAATTTAGATGGATAAATTGACATTTCCTGAATTTAGTTTTATTTATCATATCATATATAGTGCGATTTAGTGGGTGCTAACGACTTAGCAGAAGCAGCCGGGATCAACGGCTTAACGTACACGGAGGAGCTCGAGATAAAAAAATTTTTTCACCCATCTTATGACCGGTCATTGCTAAATTTGCCTTACTTCCACGATCGTAATAAATTGGTCTGATTATTCAACGCAACACGCTATACCTCAAGCAATTTCACTACAATTCACTACAACAACAAAAGTTCTGTATACTCAAATTCTTCATGACAGGGTCTTCTTTGGTCGATGTCATTGGTCCACGTCATATACGCCAGCGATGAGACCAGGTGGAATGGAGTGGTCACCACTTCGTATTACAGCGAGAATCCAGCCACGGAATTGGCACTTTTGGGAACAGTGTCTCTCTGCCTCACTCTCGTCAACATTCTGTGCATTTTCTTAGCTGGTGTTGCAGTTTATAAGGTATGTTGGACCGCTTAAGAACTTAACACATCAGCATTATTGTCATGTCAGCCCATTATTATCCCAACTGCTGGGGCATAGGTCTTGCCGTAGGCTCCTACCAGGGGGCCAATCGCCTAACTGGATTGCTTTGGAAAACGCTATCGCTTACGATTTCATTTTGTTATTTCTAGCCGCCTGAGGTTTTCAAATGCCTCGCGCTCTTTTTTTTTTCTTTTGCATTGGTAATAACAATGTTAAAGAAAATGAGCGTGAGGTATTTGAAAACCTTCGGCGGTTAGAAATAACAAAATGAAATCGTAAGCGATAGCGTTTTCCAAAGCAATCTGGTTAGGCGATTGGGCCACAGGTGGCCCAGTGCAAATTAGGTATAAACAACTGCAAATACATTTGAGAATACCCATTTTGAACGGGTATAAAACGCTCCGTGTCGCAAGACCCGCGACATCATCATCTGCAGTGATCCATCCATAGGGATTGAATAGTGAGTCTGTTTTTACAGAATAGCACAGCAGTTCACGTTATATTGATGTCACGAAAATCAGGGATTAGCCTTCCCTATGGATAGAATAGGAAGATTGGACAATGACCCACCACGTGATCGCAGTGCAATTGGTGGGAGCTAACACTTCCAGATGTAGCCGGGACCAACGGCTTAACGAGGCTTCCAAAGCATGGAGAAGCTTTATAACACCCATCTTACGACCGGCTATTTCGTAAATTGCTTAAATTTCACGGTCGCAGATCGAACGCGTTATCCAACTCACCCATTGCGAAACTCGTGAAGAAAATAACTGAAAGCTACTTATTATTTCCTCAAACTTTGACTGGGCGTTGATTGTGACTTTCAGTTATTAATGGCGACATTTTGTCACCGTCACCTTCCGTCACCATTATACGTAATTTTGTATACCCCATTTAATTTTATATAGCTCATTTACATTCTGGCCTCGTGACTTGTCTCATATCTCTGCATACCTACTAGTTTATATTATGATTTACTTTAAAATTGGGGAAATAAGCATTTACATAAGCAATTTCTCACTCGCATAAAAAGTTAGGTTAATATATAGGTACTTGATGAATATATTATAAAGTTCAACAGCGATAAGCTTGTAATACCGCAGAATTGTATGATTGACCCTATATCCTATATAATACGATATTTCAAGAAGAAGATACAATTTAATTCAAAATATGAATTCATAATTTCAATTAAAAATGTCATATTTTGAATTAAATTGTATCTTCTCTAATTTGATAGCCTTTTACCAAATCGGCATGTAGATTATAATTTATTTGATGTAGTTTAATTTGTATATTTTTTTATCTCTCTTATATTTACAAATACATTTTGAACACTTATTGTTTAATTAACTTATGGTAGTTATATAAGTAACCAGGTAGAACTTTGTGTGAGACTGATGCCTAAACTAAGCATAAAAATGCTTGTATATCAGGTCATCAGATTCCCACAAAAAGATGTCGATTCGATATTTTCATTGATGATGGATGATTATTAACCTATTAATGGTGGAGAGCTTCCTTGGTCTTCGATCGATGAAAAGTTTTTAAAAAAGCAGCCAAGTGCGAGTCGGACTCGCTCATGAACAGTTCCGTAGCAGCAAGTAACATAATATAGAAGTTCTTGTTAGGGTTACAAAATAATGCTTCACGGTTTATGCATAAGGTTTATGTTTATGAAATTAAATGGTCTTTTTTATTTGAGTTGATTGATTTATGACGTATTAAAAAAACTACTTACTAGATCTCTTGCAAACCAATTTTCGGTGGAAGTTTGAATAGGAATGTACATAATATATTTTATTTAGTTTTATCACTCTCTTATTTTAGAAGTTACAGGGGAAGGGACACATTTTACCACTTTGAAAGTGTCTCTCGCGCAAACTATTCAGTTTAGAAAAAAATGATATTAGAAACCGCAATATAATTTTTGAAGACCTACCCATATATAGCCCACTCTTATGGGTTAGATGAAAAAATGATTTTTAGTTTCAGTTCTAAGTATGGGGAACCCCTCAATATTTATTGTATTTTTGTTCATAGAATACATCGCTTACCAAGTTTCAACAGTATAGATCTTATAGTTCCGAAAAAATGTGGCTGACATACAGACGGACAGACAGACAGACATGACGAATCCATAAGGTTTCCGTTTTTTGCCATTTGGCTACGGAAGCCTAAAAATGATAGATGAAATATGTGCTATTAAACAAAATTAAATGGGGCTGTATTCAAATAACCGCAAAATGCCATGTTTATATTTCTGTTAACTTTATTCGTAAGAGGAATTCCCCCTGGCACGGTTGATTTACCGCAGCACTACGGAACTGAATCAAAGCTATAAAACGAGCTATGTAATGCCCCGAGGGTAGCATTCGTTTACTACGATTTATTTCATTTGATAGCGTGTAACGCTTATAAACCCATTAAAGAATTAAACCTGTACGGTGCAATATTCCCAGCGATTAGTACGTCAATTAATATATGATAAAACGCTTTGAGATCGATGACGCAAGTGGTTAGCACGTTCGATCTGCAATCTTGGAAGTTATACAACTTTCGCCATGGCAGTCATAAGATGGGTGACCAAAAGCCTTTACCTTTATTACCTTAGTTTAGCAAGCTGTTGGTCCCTGCTGCATCTACAGTCCTTAACACCCACCAGTACGCTTAGGCGTGGTAGGTCCGGCCCAATCTCCATATTACATCCATAGGGAAGAACTGTGTCCCGGCAATGGAGACAATAATTGGCTGATGCTGACTACTATTGTCAATATCAAAATACAATTGCCCTACCTTAAAACTGCGAAGGATAGCAGTAGCTAGTTTTAGTACCTTACCTTTAAGTACCTTAAATAGGGGTGATGACGGGGTACAGTAAATAAAATTCTATTTAGTCCGTCAGTTAGATGATCAAAAAATAATGGACACGTATTTTTTCTTTGGGCAATCAACCAAAAAATGTCAGTTATAGCGCGTCAAAGTTTGGGAGTAGGGGCTCGTGACGTCACTATTGAGTGAAAATTGTACTTATTTAAGTGTAAAACGTGACGTCATGCGAATTTTCAAATCAATATATCTCTGCAATGTTTATATTATGTGAAAAAAGAAAAAATACGTGTCCAATACTTTTTGATAATCTACCCGATAAACGAAGAAAAAAAAATAGTCATCATCCCTATTACTGCCGCCCTATCTACACTTATAATAAATCTGTAGAGAGGTCAATTCTGTACATGAAATATATTTTCAAAATAACTATCAGGGGGTGATTAGTGATCAATATTGATGCCAAAAATGCAATCAGTAAAATTTTTGTCTGTCTGTCTGTCTGTCTGTCTGTGTGTATGTTCCTTATAGAAACAAAAACTACTCGAAGGATTTTAACGAAACTTGGCCCAATTATTCTTCATACTCCTGGGCAGGTTATAGTATACTTTTCATCACGCTACAATCAATAGCAGCAGAGTAGTGAAGGGAAATGTTGGGATAACGGGAGAAGTTACTCCATTTTTTAAGCTTCCGTCGCGTGTGCAGCCTTAATGGTTAAAGTTACATAGAAATCATGTATGACGGAAATATTCTACATAAAATTGTCTAAAAAATATCCCGCAACAGCATATGTCTATCTTTTATGGTTGACTCACAATAACACGTGTAATTATATAAATAAAGTCATTGTTTATAGCACAAGCCTGAGAACAAAAACTGTAGTTTACACTACAGCTCTACACCGAAGCGAAGCGAGGGCGGGCCACTTGTCTTAAATACAAGTCTTATCTGGCTACGTGAAATTCGCTGCTCTATAAATAAATGTAACATAGTCGTAAATAAGTTGATCAATATGTACGAATATTTTACATATGTTTAAGTATGTTAAGTATATATGTTTCTTATGTTTTGACGCACACCACTCATGTTAAGTATGCTATGCGGAGATCTCAGAACGGATTGGGGAGGAGATCTTTGAGGGATGTCTTTATGGATTAAACCGTACTAGGCCCACTGCTGAGAATGGGCCTCGCTCAAAGATCTCCTACCACTTATGTATAATTGTACATCCATAAAGTAAATTTTTATTTCATCATATCATCAGCCTATTAACGTCTCCACTACTGGGCCACAGGCTTTCCCTATGGATGGAACAGAGAGATAGGGCCATGACTGGTGCTAATGACTGCAGATGTAGGCGGGTAGCAAAGCACGGAGGAGCTCGAGATAGTTTTTTTTGTCACACATCCAATGACCGACCATTGCGACGTTTGCTTAACTTTCACGATCGCAGACCGAATGCGCTAACCACAGCGGCAACGAACTCCTCAAATGTTACATATATTTAATTATGCAGGTACGTTAAGTATGCTATGCGGACATCGTAGGACCGATTATTTATCGACGCATTAAAGATCCCCTCTAATGGACATCCATAAAGTATATTTTTATTGTTTTAGGTGAAAGAAGTATGTCCTTTGGACAAACGCGACATACCATGGTGGCGCGCCAATAGAGACCTCCTTGAAGCACCCAAACGTAACGACGACGGTTCTGCAACTTGGGATATTTACAGGTACTTTATCTTGAACCCTTTCACATTTTTTGCAAAAAATCGTAATTTTTGACCGCCTCGTTTACCCAATTAAAAAAGATTTTGACTATTTCCAATAGAAGTAAACAGCAGATTTATTTTTCCTATTGTAAGTTAATGTAGAATATTTGCAAATACTATTTTTCTTTTTTTGTACTGATCGGTCTACTGCAGCTAGTTTACGGAAAAAACGATAATATGCACAACTTCAAACGCCTCAATCTCTGAATAATGTTCAATAAATTAGATCAAATTAATTACTATGACATCAGAAATATGTTTTTGTTGTAACATAATGTATTATAATTTTGATTTTCCATCTCATTAATTGTCAAAAAAAAACATGTAACCTCCGAGAGTTTTCCCAAAAAATAATGCAGGTTTACCTCGTATTTTGATATTGAATTAAGTAGAATCGCTATCAAAAACTTTCATAAAACTAATCTACCATAATTTTGAAATCCCCTCAAAGGCATAACCGCGCGTGGCCGCAAAATATTTAATTGATACTTATGTGTTAAAAAATTAGTTCTAAATCACTTTATAGCTTAAACTTTGACAGCTCAGGACAGTCTCGAGAAAAAAAATAAAAAGGTTTCCTATACATTTTTTTTAAATATTTTTTCATATATGAATGACGCATTTTTATGAAAAGTTGCATATAACATTTATTGTTCTGTTTCATTAGTACTATTTAATAGTATTTTTTAAATCCGTATATTTCCGATGTCCACTTTTTTCAAAATCCGGACCACTGTGCGGCAGTGGCGCAATTTTGTAAAAAGGCTTTTAAGCATAATACTGAATATGAATAGGTCGTTTAATACTACAATATTATTTCCCTGTCCAATGTCTGAAAAAATCTCTTTTTATCATTGTAAGTACATGATAATACCTACAAAATAACATTTTATCTAACTTGGATATGAAGGGTCATGTTTTGCAAAAAGGCCGGTCATAAAAATTGTGTTCATATAGGTCATATTTTTATTATTTTTTACCACACATATTCACACAGTGATATCGTTTCAATTACAAAATTCTATTTTTCCAAATTAAAACGGTTAATACATATAAGTACTAGATATTAAGTTCCTACCGGTCAATGCGTTGTAACTTGCCTGAAAATTGTAACTAAGCCCATGTGGTCGATTTTGTTTCCCAGTGTTCTTCTATTCGCAGGGAAGCCCTGTGGAAACATTAGCAGTTATTAAGCATACGTTAATTAGGTACTTTAAGTTTACTTAAAATTGCGATGCTTTTTTCAGTAAATGGTGCAATGACCTTGAAACACCCAAAAAACAAACAGAGAATAATTACCAGATACAGAGCGACACTGTGACGTATAGAAGGCATAATATAATGCAGCGGCCCAAAGCTCTCAATATCGAAGACTACTGCTTGCAAAAGTCTCAGTAAGTACCAAGCTCAAAATAAATATTTTGCTTTAATCTAATCACAAAGCATTAAAAATCCAAAAATGAAAGCTTTGATCATTTTCGATTTATTAAAATCGGAAATATACTTAAGTAACCTACTACCGAATTACAACTATTTGAATTAGCAAAGTCGAATGGTTATTTACTTATATTTTCTTTCAACTAAGTAAGTTCTAGATTTTTATTTTACTATTCAAAGAAATCTAGAAAACACCCATGCTACCAAGAACTGATTTCGTATCCTAGTACTCGTTTTCTTAAAAACTACATTGCTATTTTTTCTTTCGAGCGTTCAGTGAATATACAGTTTTTTTTGTTTTTTTTTTTCACTGTAGTTAGAATACCTATTTGACTAAACGCGTAAGGAATTGAATCTTCATTCAAAAGTTGCACTTACTATGTAAAATTAACTAGATCCTAATAAGATAATATTCTAGAGGTCCCACTTTGCATGAATGGGCAATGCTAACTGTGCTATGCTGTTACTAACTTAGGTCATGTTGTTTCATCGATAGTAAATTTGACTATAGTTAAGGCCACGTTAAATACATTGTAAATGTTTCAAATTTTGACAAATTTTTTTTTTTGACGTGACAACGTCTTAAATTAGGTTGCGGCTGGGAGTCACTTATGAAAAAGTGTAACGCTCGGTAACGTTACGATGAGTCTCTCGTGTTAAGTTTAAGTTTACATGTACAATGTTTTAGTAAACAAAATATATTTCTATAGTTAAAATTTGTGCAATTCTTATTTTCATTCAATTCCTTGTTCCTATTGTGCAATTTAATTATATTCATATCAATAAATATTCTACCGAGAAAAAGACGTTGTCACGTAAAATCTTCGCCCGTAAAACCGACTTTACAGGCAACCATTTTTTTGCTATAGGATTTAAATATAGTCAAATTCAACTATTTATTTATAAGTTTCATCAGAACAAAAACATTATTAGGTACAATCTAAACAAACATGGTGGTATCTTATATCTAAATGATTTCGCTATATTAAGGCAAACACAATATGTGTGAAAATTAATGGAGGACATGCTATGAAGAAAAGACAATCAATAACAAAACAATACAATACAACCAGGATAACATTTTGACAATTTGGACAAGAATAGACATTATAGTTATTGCAGATTGACAAAAAAATATTTCTTCTGGTTTAGCCAGCTTAAAGTAATAGCATAGACGACCACGATATCACTTTGCAAGCAATTTATGTATCTTGCACAGTCGATGGATTGGCGAATTGGAACCAGCCACTGTACGTCGAAGAGGTCGACAAAGAGGTGTAATGTAATTAACTGTCGATGAAGCAATGCGGCCTAAGTATTATTAAGAATATTATGTAATTAACGCTACTTTATTTATTAATAATTACAAAATTTTACAGGAACAATGAAAGCTATTCGCCTACAGACGCGGATTTAAAGTCTGTCAAGGATAATGAAAAGAAACCCTCTGAAATTAAGGACGGCGTAGAAGCTCCCAGCATTATATCAAACGCTGATTCTATAGAAAACAATCCGACTGTGTACACCGAACGCGTTAGAAACAGCTTCAATTATTATAACTTCGGATTTGAAGACAGAGATGAAAGGAATCCCAACAATGACTCATATTACCCAACAATACAGCCCTCTTTGAATCTTACCATCGATGCGAAAACACATGGCATAGTTTTAGGTACGAAATCGTTCCACGTTTAAGAAGACTTCAGTATTTATTTAATTTTAATAGGTTTTTTGTTATGACTTTGTACCTATTGTAGAAAAATATAGTTCTAAAATAATTTGATCTGTTTTGCTTTCACTTAATACCTAAAATACTTTGTAAGTGAAATATATATTTTTAATAACATGAAAACTACTTTATGCGATGCGATCAAACAGTCGTATATAACGGCCTTCATAACAATGGTATCGAATATATTAACAAATGCTTATATTAAACGAATAACTTTTCATTTGAAGTTTCCAACTCAGATACAATATGTTATCCTAACAATGAGCCAACCACTCACTTCTCTCGTTGATGTTATGTAGAAATCTAAGTCATGAGAATCTGTAATTTACCTTTATTATTTATAATGTTTTACAATAACCATAGTACCTAATTAATATTATATGTCTGGCAAAGTATGAAAAATAGCGTCAACGTAATAATGAACAAGCTAATTATTACTAAATACAATAGTCATTGAATAGTCTTCATTGCTAGCATTGACTTTGGTCTTAACACGAGTATTACATAAGGGGAGATGCCGTCGGGGGTAATTTTCATTGTCTGCATACCTTCTAGTAACTATGAGCACATTTTAAAATTTGGCAAACCAAGAGATATAATTTCCATAGAAGACACTCAAGTTCATACAAAACCGTATCGCTTAGAAGTCGAATTGCGCAATAAGAAATCGAAGAGTATTCCGATACATTTGACACAGCAGTACTACAACGAGGGATTCGATCCCACTTTGGGAAACATCAAAGAAGATGAGGATTATTTTACAATGGAAAGCGTAAGTATTTTATCTGTTTGTTACGCTGTCTCAACGATGTACTAATGATATTTTGTCTTTTGTTTTGTAAAGAAAAATGGATAATTTATTTTGTATTTTGGTCATCCACTGTTTATAGTATAAATAATAGTATATAATTTTTTTTTTATAATGGAAATCAAGTGGACATCTTGACCTACTTTTGCGGCCTGCGCTGCGTTAAGCGGGAGCACAGAGCGGGCATCCGCTCCGCGTGCAGTTTTAAATATCATTTCATAGAACAGCACTCTGCGGGAGACCCGCCTCACGCAGCGCTGCTCTATGAAATAACATAAAACAAACACGCGAAACGGACGCCCGCTCCGTGCTCCCGCTTAACGCAGCGCAAGCTCTTAGTACTTAGAAAAATCAAATGATGGCAGTACGAATTTCTTTTCAATCAGATTCTTCAAGAGTTATTGAAGAAGTTGTGCGTGGAACAAGTGGTGTGGGTGAGTGATAAGACCGGCAACTACCAGGAGGTCATATTCCCCCTGCCCACTGGAGACCAGTGCGAGACAATGTTACATTGCCTCACTCAACTCGGCATCGGGGTGCGCTGTAAATCCATAGTTAGGTAATAATAAACTTAAATAAAATTGTGCAGTCCAATCTTTAGCATGCTAGCGATCGCACAAGCCGTGCTTCAAGGCTTGCGCGGGCTTACATCTTGCCTTCCATAGACAGACACGCTCTTAACTGCGCAAACTGGCTTGTGCAGGATTGCTCACAGGCAAAACGAAACGTGTAGCCGGGCCATAACATTCCCATTTGTCTCTCTCTCTCTTTTAATACTCCTTCTTTCCCCTGGCAGCATCTTTAGTAGCCTCGGGCTGAAAGCGGTAGTTCTCATTAAATAAAGATATCTTAATCCAAACAAATATCTAATTGAAAAACAGAAAAAAAAAAGTGTGGTTCTATTAAACCACCAAACTGCCGGGCCGCCCGCGCTGAACCGCTTTATACCACTGAATCGCCGATACTTGTTAATAAGGTCTGATTATTTAAAAACAATTTAAAATGTGATACGACATATTAAAGATAAACGAAAAACTTTGTGGCGATGTAACAAAAGTTTTACTTTAATATAAACCTTAAGTACCTATGTGTAAGTGCAGGGTACTATGTGACATCTGCGTCTTCTTCTTTATCTTCAAATTTTCAGTGTTCTTCCGTGTAACGTTGTGCACTCTGCTGTTGATAATCAAGAGGTCGACGAAGATATATTGTTGTAAGGTTTTATTTTATTTTTCTTCTTAACTACTTACTTACCTTGTACATAATAGCAATATTCGTAACCGTGATTCAATAAAGTTGAGTTTAATTGCTTTAACTCACAACACTAGCAACTTCTGGGGGATTGGACCTATGGCATTCTTTTTATTTGTTTGAATGATAATACTTAATTTTAAGTTTTTAAAATATGAAGTATAAGCTATAAACAAAAAGTATTTGTCATACAAGCACCTTTGTGTATATCAAATATTTGATTCATTATACGGAATTACCAAGCTCCCAACATGTATAATTTTATGATGGAAATAATAAGTCCAGTCCAGCCATAGATTTTATTTTTTGGCCATGTGATCTTTTTTTTATAACTAAGCAACGGAAAAAGGAGTTAGCTTCTTATAAACTAATTCATTTATCAACAATAACTTTTACTTGTCCTTCTGATTTATACATTACCACATAATTTACTAACTCAGCCCCGGATTTTACAACTTAAGTATCATCACTTTGCGTTTTACAGCGTGTACACCAGCTCCTCAAAAATATATCATTCAAACTTTAATAGACAGCATCATATAATTATAACTTAGCATCATTATAATTTAATCATATGCTTTTGTAATCGTGAAAATAGCCACTGCCCGATCTAGCGCGAGTGCGTGAAATGATAGCGACCGCCCATTTGCACCAATCAGAGAGCGTCTATATTTTTACTATATACAGTGTAAACTCCATGTAACGTCACTCGATTTAACGACAAACTCCCTAAAGCGTCATAATCACTCGTCTTTGGTTGGTTTAATTTGTTTTCAATACAATAATACACTCCAAATATCATTACACCCACTCTCAATAACGACAAAAATTAAGTAATAAAAAGTACATTTTAAGTTGCCAAAATTAGTGAAAATCGTGCAGCTGTGTACGTTCTTTTGTCACTTTATTATCCGAGCCCGAAATAAACTCGACTGCCGGCATCATGCAAACCAAACGTTCTAAGAAATTCGTTCTTTTCTTTAAAAATTGGAATTGCACGTGTAGACTGTTGTTGACCATGACTAAAAAAATATAATACAACAAAATTACTGGTGCAGCGAAAGACGTCGGACAAAAATAACAGAATATACACAATAGCGTTCAAATAAGATTTTTTTTTATGTACCTATATAACTACTAGCTTGAAATAAACTTTTTCTTCTCATAATTTAGATTTTTCTTCTTTCCATTTAATGACAACTCTCTATAACGCCATAAAATGTACAGTCCCTTTAGTGTCGTTATATAGAGTTTACACTGTATTTAATATACTATTTGGTGATAAATTGTAGATAAATTTGACGATCAATTAGTGTGAGATGAGTTATATTATTAACAAACTGAGTTATAAAATAAGAAGCTAATAGAATTACTATTTTGGTGCCATATAGGTATTAATATTTTATAAATTTGAATACATGTTACAAATCTGGGTGCTTATAAATAACCATGCTGTTATAATTACAGTTGCTTACATAGAAGACAATAGTGGCCAAGATAGTAGTATTCAGATGCACGTTGATTGTAGCTACCTTAGTAATTATGAAGGCAATTTAAATTTTTAGAGGCGAATAATGCTATTTTAAAAAACCTGTTTAATTTGTGCCCATTTCAATAGAGCTCTTTATATAGAGTCAAACATCTAGGGCATCAGAAAATTAATTTCAACAAATGACCTTTACCTTATTTTCGCATCCTAACCTTCAGTCCTTTGAATAGAAGCTTCTGAAGAGTTTACGTAAAGTTTCTGAAAACGGAACAAATATTGGTGTACCAGTTTGTATGGTGTGAGCCGTACGAATATATGAAAAACATAATGGATAAAAATATAGAAGGGGTGTTATGTGAACCCTCCAGTACCTATTCACAAAACACAGAACGAGGTTAGAAGGGCCTTGTGGGCGGGGCAGACGCGTCACAGTTATATGTAAGCAAATGCTCATAACTTGACCAAAACTTGTTTCTGATTGCGTCGTTGGTCTCAGGTGTGAACGCTGATTGGTTCGATTGTTTGATGTCGCGTCGTTTGATTGGCTATTATCTATTAGCTAGAAGTGTAGTGGTGGGAGCCGGCGACATCGGTCTGGGCTAGGGTTACTATTTAAAAATTTGTAAAGACCTGGCAAAAAGCCGGACATTTCGATAAAAGTCCGGACATTTTAGTCACAAAATGCAAACATCACCCACTTAGTTACAGTGATATTTTACGCGTGGTAGCAGACGCTCGCATCGCGAGGGGGGTGTCGTTGTTGATTTTTAAAGATAATTTATATTTTGTTTTAAATTAATGAGAACTTAATAAAGATTATTTGACTTACTTGATATTCCATCTAATTAAAAAATTTCGGACATGTCCGGACAAATCCGGACGAATGGTAATCCTAGTCAGGGCACCCTTCTAACCTCTTTCTATTTTCTGTGCTCCTATTCAAAAGACTGACGATTTCGAAGCGACCAAAAATCATGGCCGTTTGTAGAAATTATTTTTTGCTGCCATAGACGTTCGACACCATATAAAAGACTCAGGTATGGTGTGGGTACTTCACAAGGTGCAAGGTTGCCCGCCCCCCTTCTGTAATTCTGCCGCGCTCGAGTCAATCCCAAAATCCCTGCTTGGGCTCCCCTACTATAAAGCTTACGCTCAAATACAAAGACGGCGATTTGTCTACGTAGGTATGTTTTAAAGTTAATTCCACTGCCAAAGCTCCGTAAGGTAGAGGTTCCTACATCGCACCATTGCTTTTATCATAATCTGAACTCAATTCAACAAAGGCACCTTACTTATTCGACTATGCTGAAGTATATTTAATTAATTCTTAATAAGTATTCCTGCTCTAATTTCAAGTGACTATGTCGAACACAGGCGTAAGACTGAAGATGCGAAACGTTGGCGCAGTTTCGTAGAGTCCATCAGATCAAAGCTGACCGTAAAGCAAGTAGTGGACGGTGTGCGCGGCGGAGGGGAACTGTCATTCGATTATTTAACTCTTATAATTACTGCTGAGTAAGTAAAAGTATAAATTTATCACAAATCAACACTCAATTCTGCACGGCATGTCCCGAAATGGGTTATCTTCTAAGTAAAATACATCGTAGCAGCAATGTTGGTGTCACAATTGTTGGGTCCCGTCATATCCATAACCTTCGCCACGATCATCTCTGATCGAACCCTCGTCAGGAGTGGCTCCGAGAGCTGACATTATGTCAGCAACCACAGACGAGAAAGTGTTAAATTACTACCAAAGATGGATAAACCCATACGAGTCGATTACTTAACATACTTTATTGAATCATATTATCATGCTTTAATTGAAGCTTTCATTTACTAATAGGGTCACTTTAAACAATTTGTTTGCTAATATTATGCTCTTGATTAAATTTATATGGCAGATAATATTATGTCAACGCAGCAAGTGATAAAACGCAACAATTATGCGAATTTGCCAACAGTTCCCTTGCTGCCCTTGGTCTAGTGGAAAACAATGCTTCGAACATCGTAGCAGCAATGTTGGTGTCACCATTGATGGGTCCCGTCATGTCCATAACCTTCGGCACGATCATCTCTGACCGAACCCTCGTGAGGAGTGGCTTCGAAAGCTTAGTGATGGGGATGGCACTTTCACTACTCTTCGGTTTCATTTTCGGGCTGATTTTGGGAACTACTGAAATGCCGTGGGGCTTCGGCGACTGGCCTACGGAAGAGATGAAATCGAGGTCAGTAGTTATTTACCGGTGTTGTATTCATCATATATTGCAGATTATATCGTGATTTTTACGAAATAGGATCGAAATGTCAGTTCTTAGGGTTCCGTGCCCAACTGGTAAAAACGGGAGCCTATTACTAAGACTCCACTGTCCGTCTGTGTGTCTGTCATATGCCGTCCG